TGCTGTGAGCTAGGCTGACACCACGGCACTCTAGCCCAGGCAACAAAGCAAGACTCTGTCTCAAAAAAAAAAGAAGGCATTGTCTCATTTGCTTATATTGTGGATGAAACATTTTCTTTAACTGTAGACTGGTACTAAAATATGATCTGAAATCTTTTAATTTTAAAAAGCAACAAGATTGCCAACAAAGAAGAGTTAAGTGTAGAAGACCTAAAGGTTATTATTTTTCATGCCTATTTATTCATAGGAATCTCGTGTCTACATTCTCTGGGCAAGGTTTATGATCTTGTCTTTTTGTTTCCCATGGCAAAAGGAACAAAAGCTTAACTTTTGCCAGAATTTAGCTGAAAATGACATCTTTTCTTTCCCTTATTCAAGATTTGGTATCACTTAAGATTTGTTTTGCTTAGTTACTGTTCTAAATGTTTTGAGAAGCTGTTGGTTATTTTCTGAGCAGGGTGGAGGAAGGGAGCACCTGGTTATATTTTTGAGTTATGTAATGAACCACCATTTTCTGAAATGATATGGCATTTAGGGATGGACTTCTGTTGTTTTAGCATAGACTCATTATTTAAGCATATTAAGGTGCCAACCAGTTATGAATAAGAATAATTTTTACCTTTACGTTTTTATTACATTTAAAAACCGACTCAACTTTATTAGTTCATACAATGTGGCAACATGTTTTTGTTCATGTGGTTCATTATTTGTTTTGCTGAATATTTTAAGCCTTGTAATCATTATAGAACTTGGATTTTGATATAAAATGGATTGTAGAAGCTGTTTTCACAGTAGTAACAATGGCAGTGACTTCAATTATAAAGACCATTGATAGACCATAGTAACAGAGAATGATGTTTATCTAGCTATAGCGAGCTTTCAACTAACCATACCAAAAGGCTAAAACAAATATTCTGTTTTTATTACCACCCAGACACCTCTCTATAAGCAATCAAATCAAATAGCAACAGCCTGAGCAATGTAGTGAGACCTCATCTCTATAAGAAATTTAAAAGTTAGCTGGATGTGGTGGTGCACGCCTGTCATCCCAGCTACTTGGGAGGCTGAGGCAGGAGGATCACTTGAGCCCAGGAGTTTGATGTTGCTGTGTGCTATGATCATGTCACTGTGCTCCAGCCTGAGTGACAGAGTAAGACCCTGTCTTACTTTGTCTATAAAAAAACAAAAAATTCAAATAGCAGAAGAGTAGGAATAGTCTGCATATCTGTTCCTGGGAACAATGGGGATGGGCTTATCATCTAAATCAGCAATTCTTTCAGGGAGTACACAGGTCAGAATTGTTTTTATAATAATATGTTATTTGCCTTTTTCACTCTCATTTCCTCATGAGGCTGCTATATCTTGGTATCATAAAATAATAATATCATAATAAAATGAGATCATGTGGTAAAAGATGAAAATAGTTTTAATTTCTTTTCCCTTTTACCAGTTAAGTTTACACAGTGTAAATTCTATGTTTTTAGATTGAGGTCCTATTAAGGTTCTAGCCACTTTAAGTGCTGAGAATTTAACTTAACCAAGATGGAATGTGGTTTAGAAGGGGAAATGATAGGTGGTAGATAAAAATTATGCAAGAGAGAGATTGTTTAGGGTCTTGTCGACCATTGTTGAGGACTTTGGCTTCCACTGTGAGCGAGATGGGAAGTATTTAATAGGGCTGTCATTTTCAGACACCTCATTATCTTCCATAATTGGTGTTTTTGTCAGGGAGCCATTATTCATCAAGCTGCCTACCGGTAGCTAGAATCTTAAATGTAAATATTCTTAAATGTTTTTGTTTGGGGAGATGTAAAATTTATATTTTTACCAGCCTCTTAATGAGAGTTGTATAAAAGTTAATTGCTATATTCCTAAAACTGTACAGTTACTAGGTTTTGTACATTATGATATAATGTGCCATTTCATTGGAGCAGAATTGTTCTGCATGTTTTATGTTGTTGTAATAATTTTGTAATAGATTTTTTACTTTGGCTATTGTGTTTAATATTGTCAATTTTTTAATTTTTTTAGGTGTGTTGGTTAATTGCCTCATGTCAGGCTTTGTGTTCAAGGCTGATAGTTTTGGTGCCTTTGCATGTATCCTATGCTTGTTTGTGCTTGTGAGGATAATTGTACTTTTAAGACATCGTATCTCACTTATGAAAATCAGTTTTTATAAATGGTTTAATGCCACTAAAATTCTGTTGTGTCTTGTTTTTGATTAGCATCTTCTAAAGTACTAAAGAGCATGTGTGAGAATTTCTACAAATATTCAAAGCCCAAGAAAATTCGAGTATGTGTTGGGACCTGGAATGTGAACGGTGGGAAGCAGTTTCGCAGCATAGCTTTTAAGAATCAGACACTCACTGACTGGCTTCTTGATGCACCCAAGTTGGCTGGCATCCAGGAGTTTCAAGGTTGGCTTTTTACGATATGGATTTAATTAATAAATCCTGACTGTGATTAATTGATCTAGAAAACAAATATAGCACTTCACAATATGCATTGATTTGTGAAAGAAACTTGAGTTATAAATTTGAAGGCCAGAATTTTTATAGATCAGATCTTTACCTCTTTTTTAATTTCTAGACCTTTATTTTTTACTTCATAAAAAAACATAATGGTAAAATAAAAAATCCTTTTCTCTGATAGTTGATTATCAGGAAATAGGGTCTATACAAAAATAGGTATCTTTGAAGGCAACCACACATATAAGAAAAACTAGTTCTGTTTTTATTTTAAACTGACATGAACCAAGATTAGTTTGTAAATTGATAATTTGACTTTCATGTCCCATTTTTAAATTCTAGTCCTCTGTTTAGTTACTAACGTGAAAAATATCAGAGTGGGTCATGAGCAGCCTTACAAAACTTACTGTGATATTTGTTGGTACTTTCTAACTTAACAGTACTGGTTTGTCCCTGTAAAAACTTTCTTGTCATTCGGTCTGGATACTCTACACCAAGCTATTAATAACCAGGACCAAACATTAAGCAGAGGATACTTTCATTAAGGTTTTGATTAGAATCATGAATTTAATTTTTCTCTTTTTAAAAGTCAACTTTCATTCCTTCTAAAAATAGTATATAATTGCCAAGTATTATATATGAAGGTGATGTGTATGGGAAATAGTGTGAGATACAAATTTTTCTTTTTTGGGTATTTTTAATCAGTCACATCTTAAACCCTGGGATTTTCCCCAAAACTTATTAAAATGCCCTCTTTTACTTACATTGAACCAAACTTGAAGTTATTATAATAATAATAATAAAATAAACAGCTTAACATTATAATTCCAAGTAATTTACATATAATTGTTAGAGCGGATCTAATACGTAGGCAATATTCCAATTTTATAGATGAAGAAACTGAAACACAGAAAGGGAAGTAACCTGCCTGTAGTCATGCAATAGCTGCAAAGCCAGGATTGGAACTCAGGCAACTTGGCTCCAGAGGCTGCATGCCATGGTGCATTTTATGTGTGAACTTGGACAAGTTGCTTAGGTTCTCTGAAGCCTCCTGTCTTTAAGTAAAAGGCAAAAACAATCTTATAAGTTGTTTGTGTGGTAATTAAATGAGATGATATATGTATGAGCCTTCCACATAATAGCAGTATTTTTTATTTATTAGTATTATAGTATTTATAGGCTCTTTCTAGCTGTTTATCCTCATTTCTGGATACTTAGGGGTATTCAAAGTGCCTCTGGGCTGCTTATCTCAAGCAGCTTCTGTTATCTTTTAGTCCTTGTCAGTTAGGAGGGAGCTATTAATACTAGCTGGGATAGAGTGATGTGCCTTACCTTCTGGATCTCTTCTAGTTTTCCTGAATTTCTTCCACCCAGGAAATAGCAAAAAGATCAAGCTCATGGTTTTAGAATTTGAATATGAAAAATTCCTCCCCGCTGTTATTTCTAATTTGAGATAGTTTCTCAGCCACTTAATTCTTTGTACCTTTTCTGAACAATTTCTTTACCTCTACAGTTCTGATTCACTTTAGCGTTTGAGAAGTAGCTTGTTTCTCTGCTGTCCATGGTACAAACTTTAGCAAGAGTTCTTTCAAAATGATTTCTGAAAGGACTTAAGGATCTTCAAGAATAACAGTCTTATAGAAACAAACTTAGGACACCTGAATAGAAAGTAAATTTAAGGTAATTTTATCCCACTCGTGAGTTCTTGCCTTTAATATGAGTTTTGTTAAACTCTAAACACAAAAGTAGATTTTTATGAGATCTGGTATTATGTTTTGTTGGGTGGGGTTGCCATTTGACTAAGGCTATATTTAAAAATATTTCTTGGATGCTTAATTGTAGATAAAAGAAGTAAGCCAACTGATATATTTGCAATTGGTTTTGAAGAAATGGTAGAGTTGAATGCTGGAAACATTGTGAATGCAAGGTAAGCTAGCCAGGTAACACACTGAAAAACTTGTCAGTTGAGGGACATGGAGAACAGAAAACTAGGTAGTTGTTCCTAGGAGAGATTGAGGTAATATATAGAAAGGTGCTTTTTAAATTGTAAAAGAGCAGTTCTCAAACTTTCTGGTCTGAGGATCTCGCTGTACACTTAAAAATATTGAGAATGTTAAAGAACTTTTGTCAATGTTTTTTATATCTCTTGATATTATATTAGAAATTAAAACAAATTTTAGAACATTTCATTCATTTAAAAATAATAAACCTATGACATGTTAATATAAATGACATATTTTTTTGAAAAATAACTTTTCTAAAACAAAAAATTTACTTGAGAAGGGTGGCATTGTTTTGTAGTTTTGCAAATCTCCTTAATGTCTGGTTTAAGACAGCTGGATCTTTACATCTACTTCTGCGTCAATCTGTTGTATGTTGTTTTGGTTAAAGTATATGAAGAAAAATCACATAATTATGTAGTTTGAAAAGGAAATGTTTAAATAGCCTTTCCAGATAATTTCTTCTATGATACTACACCAAAACTTAGGGTTTTGGTAAAATAGTAAATGGTAGTGTCTTAAAGGTTAGTTGCAAAATGGAATGTGAAACCATATAAATGAAGTTTTTGTGCTCTGTTATGCTAAAATTCATTGATTTTTTACTCTTGCATGATTTTGTGACATGGTATATTGGTCATTTGGAAAATATTAATTCACTCAGTTATGTAGATCTTCCAAATTTTGACACACTTAATTATATAATATCAAAGCATCGAAATGGTTCATATCACTGGTCATCTCATCAGAAAATAATTATTGGGAAGCTGTGAAGGTCATAGTAACAGATACAAGTTTCCCTAAATACTAATTTTAGCTTGAAAACTTAAGTTTTATCATTGGAAACAAATACTCTTAGTTGTTTTTCTTGAAGAGACAAGCTGGGTTGAAAAAATGTCTGCCAAATAACCTAAGTCTCAGTAAGTAGTTTCTCATTAGTTCTTTTTTTTAGGGGCGTAGTTCCCATCATTTGGGCAGATATCATTAGTTTTTTAAAGAAAAAATTGTATTCCATGAAAAAGTGTCAGTTTAACTCACAACCTAAAGTATTAAGTGCTTTTCCTTGAGATAAACATCATACTTCAGTATGCAACAGAAGTGCTTTGTGTGTATTTTCTATTTATCCCACAGAATATTAAAAAGATGTGACTCAGGGGTTGGGCTTTGATAAAATTAATAATGTTTACTCCTTCATCAGGGACATACTTAAGTGGAATGGTGTTTTTTTACTGCAGATACATGGCTGTGCGATTATAATGACAACCAGTAACAGCTTGATGCCTCGTCAGTGAAAGCATCATGACTTTTATCCATTGTTGCTTTTGCGCTATCAGTGCAAATGTCAGTTAACACAGTGAAAAAGGCAAACAATGTCTTAGTAGTGTCAGTAAGAGTTGTGACACCATGGGTTTTGGGGACCCCCCAAAGATGTCTCCAGACCACATTTAGAGAACTCCTTATTATAAATACAAATTATATGAGTGAAACTTAAAGCTTAAGTGTTTTATTTTAACAACGTATGCTTGCTTTTAAATTTGAGCAGTTGCCCATGTTTTGTGACATTTTTAAGATTTTTCAGAAGAAAATTATTGCTGAAATAGTACTGTATAATCATCAGTCTTGCAAATTGATGACAATTATTTTATTAGCCAAAATGAATAAACTTAACAGTTGAAATCAGGGAAGTTGAAAGAAATCTGACTTCACTCGTTTTGCTGTTTACCTTTCCTGAAAATATATATTCAGGTCTTAAAATAGAACATACTCTTAGGTTTCCTAGTACCAAACAAATTGATCAGTTGTTTTTCTAAGTAGAGTTTAATAAAATTTTTCTTTAATAAAGCGGTGAATATTCATTTATTTATTTAGCCAGTATCTACTGAGCACCACTCTAGGTGCTAAAGATAGCTCAGTGAATAAACCAGAACAAGATCCCTACCTTCATGCACTTTGTATTCTAGTGGGAAGAGAAGGACAATGAACAATAATTACAATGAGTAAATTATAGAGGATGTTAGAAAAGTGCAATGGAAAATAAATAAATAGGAAAAGGGGATCAGGTCTGTGGAGGTAGAGAGGTGTAACAGTTTAAATGGAATGTTCAGAGTAGGCTTCATTGGAAAGATGACTTAAGGAGTGACCTGAAGAAAATGCCAAAGGCATTATTTTCCTTTCAGAATCCGAGTCACATTGGTGGGATTACGATAGGTAGTAAATCTGTGTTTGGAGAAGGTATGGCATAGTGTTAGTTAGATTAGATAGGTAGATGTGAGGGCATATTCTTGTTTCCCACTAATCATTTGTGTGATTGGAACAATGACAAAAACTTTGTTTTGCTCTCCATTCGAGGTTCTTAAGCACAGACTTTCTACTTTGAAATTTATAGATAAAGAGAAACAAACATTTATCCTGCCTTTCTTATATGAACTATATTTTAGAGTAATTGAATAGCTGATAAAGGTTTTTTCTAGGATTCCAACTTATTACAGTTGCCTATGGAATGCTGAAATTATGAAAATCAATGTTTTGCAACCCATAATGAAATAGTGCATCTGAGCAATGATCATCAGTAGATGCAAAGTCCTTACAAGAAGGAGTAATGGGGAACTTTATAAGGAGTCCTATAGCTCCACCATCTGAACAGCTGACCAGCTGTAACACTGCTGAGATGATGTGCCTCTTGCTGTGGTGCAGTAGAAAGTGCAGCACCACCCATATGGCTATTTTTGACTAAATATATAAATAAAATTGAACGTGTTTCTTAAACTTCCACATCAACCAGTTTAAAGGAAATATGAGGGATAGAGGGACAAGTTAAGATACCATGAGGACACATCAGCCAAATCCAGACCATTCAACATTTTAAAGGCAAATGGCCCAATTTATTAAAAAAAAAAAAAAGGCATTAAAAACTGGAGAAGGGGAGTGAAGAGGGTTGCAAGCCCATTAAATATTAAGAGAGACTCAAGAGACATCACAAGCAAATGCAATGTATGGCCCTTGTTTGAACCTTGTTTTAAAGAAACAAACCAACTGCAAGAAGACATTTTTTAGATAATTGGGGAAATACAAGTATGAGCTGAGTATTAGATGATATTAAGGAATTGTTAATATTTAACTGTGATAATAGCATTGTGATTATGTATAAATAAAAATGTCCCATTGCATTAGAAATGCATATGAAGTATTTATGGGTGAAACGGCATGTTTCTTAGGTTTGGTTTAAAATACTCTAGGTTAACCAAAAAAAAAAAAAATGTAAAAAGGGATGGAAGAAAGAAGATTAGCAAAATATTGATAATTTTGAAGCCGGATAATGGGTATATAGTGGTTTATTTAACAATTATCTCTTTTTTGTGGATGTTTAAAATTTCCCATAGTTTTTAAAAAATACATTAATCATAATTCAGAAAAATGAGTAAAAAGGAGGGACATGTATCTGGAAGCATATAGAGTTAGTCCTTCGTATCTGTAGGTTTCACATCGGTGGATTCAACCAACTGCTGACTGAAAATATTTAAAATATTGTGTCTATGTTGAACATATACAGCCTTTTTTATTGTCATTATTCTCTAAATAACACAGTATAATGGCTATTTACTTAGCATTTACACTGTATTAGATATTAGAAGTAATCAAGAGATGATTTAAAGTATACAGAAGGATGAGGTGGGTTATATGCAAATACTGTGCCATTTTATGTAAGGAACTTGAGCATCCTTGGATTTTGGTATTTGAGGGAGGTCCTGGAACCAATCCCCCATAGATACCGAGGGATGACTGTACTTCTTTATGACCTTAATGAATACTTCAAGAAAAAGTAAAGTGTATAATATCGCTTGAGATTGCTCACTTGGGGAGTAGTCATTTAATAAATTGTCTCAGTATTTTCTTTATAAAGGAGTAGGAGATTAGAGTTGGAAGTGTGGTGGTCTTGGCTAAATTTGGGGTTTTCCTTTTTAAAAGAAACAAAAACAGAGTGTGTAAAGATTTCAGTCTTACGAAATTTGGCTAGATAAAGGTATAATTGACAATTGTCTTATAAAATAGGTTATGGTCAATATCTTTTTAAAAGATTCCCTTTTTAATATTTTCTGGTAGCACAACAAATCAGAAGCTCTGGGCTGTGGAACTTCAGAAGACAATCTCCAGAGACAACAAGTATGTGCTGCTGGCTTCTGAACAGTTGGTGGGCGTCTGTCTGTTTGTTTTTATCAGACCACAGCATGCTCCTTTTATCAGGTCAGTAAACAGAACAGTCTCCTAAGGCTACTTCCTACCATTAAATAACAAGAAAAAGGCCTAGAATGTTTGTTGCTTCAGAGAAACATTTATCCATAGTTCTTATTTTTAAATGGATTTTTGATTAAAGAGTCACTAATGGTTTCACTGTACTATTTCACAGGCTTGCTCTCAGAGTACCATATGATATATAATTATGATTATATATCTATTCCTAATTTCTGATGCACGCAAAACTATTAAAATTTCAAATCTGTGATTTAGAATTCTTTGTTTTAAAGGGATGTTGCAGTTGATACTGTGAAGACTGGAATGGGAGGTGCAACTGGAAATAAGGGAGCCGTCGCAATCCGAATGCTGTTCCATACAACCAGCCTTTGCTTCGTCTGTAGCCACTTTGCTGCGGGGCAGTCACAAGTCAAAGAAAGAAATGAAGATTTTGTAGAAATAGCACGAAAATTGAGTTTTCCTATGGTAAGCTCTTGCTGCTTGTTATTGAGGGTAAAGCTTTGAAATGTATTTTAATATACCCGAAATTCTATATCAGTATTTTTGAAAATTTAATTCCTAGAAACATCAGCAATATTTACCTAAGTAGATATTTCGTGTGTTATTATCATACTATTGGGCTAAAGAAACAGGGCATGGGAAGGAGGGTGTAAGCATATCTGAGGCAAAGAAATAGTTGTAAAACATTTTTTAAAAATAGACTGTTTTGAATTTAAAATTCCATTCCCTCGCTTTCAGGGAAGGATGCTGTTTTCCCATGACTATGTATTTTGGTGTGGTGATTTCAACTATCGAATCGATCTCCCTAATGAAGAAGTTAAAGAGCTCATAAGACAGCAGAATTGGGATTCTCTTATAGCAGGAGATCAGCTTATCAATCAGAAAAATGCTGGACAGGTATATTCATACTTGAGAAGATACTTGCATTGAGAAGAAGGGGATCTGGGGTCATGAAATATGCTTTCTTTAATCATTTTTTTAATTACTTGGAATTTCTTTATACTTAAATATGTATCTGTAGATAAACAAACATAGAATTACCTTCACTTTGATGGCCCGAATGAAAACAGACTTTTTTGTGTTTTGGAATAACTTACTTTGTATATATTTATTTTAGATTTTTAGAGGATTTTTAGAGGGAAAAGTAACCTTTGCTCCGACATATAAATATGATTTATTTTCTGACGACTATGACACCAGTGAAAAGTGCCGTACCCCTGCATGGACAGACCGTGTCCTCTGGAGAAGAAGGAAATGGCCTTTTGATAGATCAGGTTGGGAAATGGACTTCTTTATTTAAATGAACTAATGCAAATTTTATGAGGAAGAAAGGAATGATAGAAATATAAAATAAGAGGAGAGTGATTTTTTTCAATAATTATCTAGAATAGAATATATAAAATTTATATATAAAGACAGATTTTTAAAAATATTCTCATCTGTTTATAATTTATTTAATTTTTTCAGTCTATTTTCATATAATTTCATATAAAGGGAATCATATTTTTGTGAAATTTTCAATTGAATGTTAATTCAGGTTTTTAACTTAAATAACTAAAGTGGTTTGCATATATTTTGAATTGCCACATATCTGTTGCATTATTTAGGAAGCACTGTTTGGTCACAGGCCTTTAATCTTAGAAATAAAGCCACATCTTCATTTTACTAAGCAAAGAATAAAAATGATAGCTTTACCAAAAACCTTTCTAATTTAAAGGTATCTAGACTTCCTGCTTATTAACAAATGTATCTGGCATACCAGCCTCAGACCACTGAAGCTCATGAAAGGAAAGAGGTACCTCTTTGCTCCCCATGGTCTGTCATGCTCATATGGCTTCTCTTGTGTTTTGTTTTCTTCTGACTGCAGCTGAAGACCTAGATCTTCTAAATGCTAGTTTTCAAGATGAAAGCAAAGTCCTTTACACATGGACTCCTGGCACCTTGCTGCACTATGGAAGAGCTGAGCTGAAGACTTCTGACCATAGGTTTGAACAGTCTCAGTATTTCTAACAGTGCTTGAGATTTGTTTGAAATACACCCATTTTAAAATCTTTCTAATACTTCTGTCTTCCTTTATACCTTAAGGCCTGTTGTTGCCCTGATTGATACAGATATATTTGAAGTTGAAGCTGAAGAGAGGCAAAACATTTATAAAGAAGTAATTGCACTTCAGGGTCCACCAGATGGTACGGTATTGGTCTCAATCAAAAGTTCTTTACCAGAAAACAATTTTTTTGATGATGCCTTGATTGATGAGCTCCTGCAGCAGTTTGCAAATTTTGGGGAAGTTATACTCATCAGGTGAGTAAAATATTTATTATCTAAAAGAAGCTTATGATTCATAAACAATAGTTTCTGTATTAGAAATCACCTTATTTAGTGTTTGAATAGTATTTAGTCCCAAACTAAAGAAAACTCTTACTGTACATATTATTCAATAGGTTTTGAAACTGAATTCTCTGCTTATAAAGTTTAAATAAAGAATGAAACTTTATATGAGCAATTAAAGACAAAAATATGTGCAAGCTTAGCTATGACCTCTCAAGATTCCTATATGATAGGACACATAACAAATCCCTATAACAGAATAAAGCTGTGATTGCTATTATTTTTTTAAGGGGAGATCAGAGTAAAGTAGAGTGACTTTTCCCCCTTTGGTTTAAGAAATTTGATGTTTTAAATAATTTTAAGTATGTTTAATTTCTAACCAACAGAGATGTGCTGAATAGTCAGGAGACATTCATTCCAGTCTTGGTTTCTGTCTTTGACTTAACCATCTGCCTTTTTGCAGAACCAAAATCCTCTTACCTTATTTTAAAAATGTTCTCTCCAAGTATATAGCAATGTTGAGAGATTGAATGGTGTGTGTGTGTGTGTGTGTGTGTGTGTGTGTGTTTGAATTCCATAGGGAAAGAAATACTATTAAATTCCTTTCATTGCTGGTCATTTGGTTATTTAGCTATGTTTTAGAGGTATTTCCTGGGCAAATCTCTATATTAGGTGCTATGGAAGAGCAGAAGAGATGTCGAAGATGTAACTCCTTGTAATCTGTTTGGGAAGATCAGCACATGTGTAATGGCTTCCCCACATCCTAAACAGCATAGTTCACAGAATTAAGATGATGTGGCTCTGTAGAGTGAAAATCATGCCTAAGACACTTCAAGTCCTTTCAGAGAGTAAATGAGCAAATGGAAAAGAAATTGTATTTAGACTTCCCTCAAATCTTTTGACAAAGATATACCCCAAAGCTTTAAAATGAAACAATTTCCAAAATCTTAAGGCTGTAGGAAGTACATAGTGAGATCTCCAAGTTTACAGATGAGACAATAAGCTTTGCCAAGTACAGAAATGCCAGACCACCCGAAGCATCATGTGGACTGTGTGAGTGGGCAGCAAAGTAGCAGATAAATGTCTTCGTGAGCAAATGCAAAATATTGCAGTGAGCTAGAAAGAATCCAAACTATATAGGGATGAAAACTCTAATACTGGAAAGGGACCTGTCTTTATAACCCAGTCTCTAAGAACTTGGTATTAAATTGAAGCCAAAAGCTTTCTCCCAAATGCTTGTCATCATTAGGAAAAAATACTGGTAAGAAAATAAGGCATTACCCTAACATTACAAAACCATGAGGTGTCTCCACACCTGGAGTATTCTGGTTGTTACACCCCAAGACAGCCAAGTTGGAAAAGAGGCAGACACTGAAAGTCAACAAGGGGGGCACTGCGGTTAAGCTGTGAGATGACACAGATTATTACCTTTTGGTCTAGACCAAGACAGCCATTAAGGAGTGACTGAAGCCTGTAAACCCCTGTATATTTAAATAAGAGGTTCCTTGGAAATGTGGATGGGATAAATTTAGATGCATATAGATATTTACATTGAGGGAAAAGTCTAGAAGACTTTACCTTAGTGAATGAAAGCAGGAAGGAAATACAACTTCCAAAAGGACCTATATAAATCTGTGGATGTAAGAACCAGGATCCCTTGTTAAAGTTAGAAATGTATAAGGGGCACATTGCTAATTGAGGATAAAGACCAAGAGATTAGCCCTGTTGTGAGACCATAAATGCTTTGGTACCACTATCAAAGAACAAAGAATGTTTGGGGTTGGGATGGTGGGACTGGCGCAGCATAAGTGCAGCTTTACAGTGGTAATTATAACTTTTGGTAGAGGGATATTCTCCGATGCTAACAATTTGGAAAAAGATACCTTCGTGGTAGTTAAGTAAGAATGATGTCCCTGTGTATTTCAAATGATAGCATCCTGCGATTTAATAACTTTATGCCAAAGAAATTGAATCAGTTACCTTGATCATGTTTGAGTGATTGTAGAAATCTCTTCCAGACCCTTGATTTCAATAGGGGTAAAAGTACTTTTGTTTTTGGCCTTTTCCTCTTAATATCCATAATTCATACTTTTGAGTCCTAGTTTGAGAGAGAGATTCTGTGTGTGTGTACGTACATGTGTACATGTTTACCCCCCTCTCATCTTTGGAAAATCTGCAAGGATTTCTGAACTTGTTTTATACAATTGGGAGTACTTCAACTTGCAAAATTGTTTCTATAAATGAGACTGATAACATTACAGTTGGTTCTTTTTTGCATTGATAACCTTATTACACATCAGTGACCATCCTCTTTAGAACTACTACTAATGTCCTTTTTATTTTTATCCTTTTGAGGATTTTTTATTTCATAAGTATAAATTTAGAATTATAGCAAAACCATTGAAGTCCCTAGAGAGTAAATGTCTTGTCAATGACTAAAGATAAGGATCACATCCGAAGTTTTGTTTTGTTTTGTTTTGTTTCACTGACAACTCCCTGTCATCTTTCTTGATCACAAGTAATTTTCTAGAGGGAAGTCATTGAGACAGTAAAAATATGTAAGTGCTGGACTATGAGGTCAGGAGACCTGGATCCTAGCCCTGTAAAGTATTCTCCTTGTAGGATCACTTTGAACAAGTCACTTAACGTCTGGCTCTTTTTTTCTTATCAATGAAAGGAAGGATTGGATTGGATTATAGTGAGGATCACAAATGGTAGTTCTCAGGCCCATTTCTTCTGGCTATTCCTTTAAGCATAGTGATTTGCTATGGGATTTGAATGCTTTTAGGGGAAGAGTGCCCTCTCCAGGTCACCACCAGCCCTACTGCTCTCCTTTGACTTTTTTTCTTCCAGGCCTCTGTAGGTCCTTGTTAATCAGTAATTATTGGGCTAGTTATATCTAAGACATTAATTACAGTTTTTTATTGTTTTTCTTAAAGATTTGTAGAAGATAAAATGTGGGTCACATTTTTGGAAGGAAGCTCTGCCTTGAATGTTCTGAGCCTAAATGGTAAAGAGGTAAGGTAGCATTTGTTGACTCTAAACCCTTCTGGAATTAAATGTGTGAAGATTACACAGTATTTTTATAGACATGCAGCAAGATTATCTAAATGTATTTTCAGTTAAGGAGGGTAAAAGATCTTATATACCATAAGGTATATAAGGAATTATTTACTCGAATTTATTTGCTCGAGGAATTATTTACTATTTTTTATTTAGACTAGGTCTCTGACTAGCATAGGGTTATTTTGATCCTTCCCTAGTGATATTAACCATTTTTTAAAATTTTAATTCTTAATTTAATTCAATTTTATTTTATTTCCGGAGACAGTTCGGCTAGTGTGCAGTGGCGTCATCATAGCTCACTGCAACCTGAAACTGCTGGGCTCAAGCGATCCTCCTGTGTCAGCCTCCCGAGTAGCCGGAACTACAGGCGCACACCACCACGCCCGTCTGATTTTTCTATTTTTAGAGACGCGGTCTCACTCTTGCTCAGGCTGGTCTTATACTCCTGAGCTTAAGTGATCCTTTGCCTTGACCTCCCAGAGTGCTAGGATTATAGGTGTGAGCCACCGCACTAAGCCTGAGATATTAACCATTGATGTAGACCAATAAGAAAACATGTTTATCACCTAATTTGATTCTTATCATATTTTATGATGTAAAAAGTTTTAAATTTTTAATTGGGTGTAGATATTCTGGCTCATCTGTATAGTAGAAAAGATTTCTATCAGATGAAGAAAATGCTTTATTTTCAAGAAAACAAAGGAGAAACATGCTCATTATTCCCAGGAATTTTTTTTT